GACTTTCACTCCATAGATAAATGAAACAGACATTAAAATGAATAGAAAGAAGAATAAAAGTAAGCATAAATATCATTCCAATGCCATAGATGAACTTACCTAAAATATTTTATGGAATCTTCCTCATGATGCCAGTGATCATGTTCTGGGCAAGTTATCCCTTTGCAAAGGCATGCCAGTCTTAATCAAAAACAATGAAGCAACCAAATGCTGCATTACAAATGGGGCCAAAGCAAAAGTTGTATCTTGGCATTCAGAAGACTCCTCAGGAAAATCAGTGCTAGAAACCCTATTTGTTGAGATTGTCAACCCTCCAAGAACAATTGAACTAGATGGCCTTCCAGAAAACGTAGTACCTTTGACCAGACACACTACGGACATCCAATGTAAAATGCGCAATGATGAGATAGTAATAATATCTCGGATTGCACAAACCAGACCATCAATACAGTTTCCTTACACAAGGAACCCCCCTACTTGCCCTTCAATATTCATGGAACCAATCTAAATCTCAGCAAAAGTTTCCGATTCAATATCAAAGGACACAAGAAATACTTTTTAACAGGAATGGTCTACCATGGCGAATACCATTTCAACTGTCGATTCATTGACAAAACTGGGACAATATGGTACAATGATGGTATAACCACAGGCAAACAGTGTGTAATTGAAGGAACCTTATCAAATACAGATATGACTGACTTAACCAAATGTAAAGGGAAAGACATTTCATTAGTAATATATGCACAGTGCTATTAACTAACATGAGACTCAGGACTTGTATCCTGCCATGCAAAGCAATGGCCCTCTTCCCACAAGTGGTGTTGTGTCCAGTAGTGATGTATGGACAGATGACTTGACAGCGAAGTCAGAAATGCAACTATGGCGGAAAGTCTTCGGTCGGGAATCTAACTGTAAGTCACGCAACTTTCCTACATGAGTGCTACAGAAATCAGCCAATAAGCTGCGGCAGCAGATTATTTTTAGATGTCCTTAATTGCCCACTAATAACAATCTTGTTTTGTCTGCAAATACATCTTCTTCATCCTGTGCTGCACAGCACTGGTGTCCAGTCAGGTTCCAGTTCGAAGCACCAAAAATTACCATATTTGGGTAAGGTTCAGGTGCCAGGCACGCTCTGAATCTCATTTCAGGTTTGGTCCTCACAAAAGCTGAACCACGGACCAGAACTTGAGACTGGTTTGGGGTTCGAGCCGGTTCTCACAGGTTTGGGAACCGAACTGTGGCATCACTACTTCGGTTGTTACATTGTTGGTAGCCGGCAACAATGATGAAGAAGCTGGACAATGGACTGTGGTGATTGTAGAACTTCCTTAGTCAGTACAGTTGTTGTAACACACACACACACCACTAAACCGGACCTCGTCCTATTGCATGAGGTACAGGATGGGTAATGAGCTAAGGAAGTTCTTAGAGATAGAAGTGTCCTCCTCTCGCTCGCCCAACCGTCCAATCCATTACTCTATATCCAAACATTGCCAGATGTTGCGCAACTTGGTGGCGCCCACTTTACACCCTCCCCACTTAGAGCAAGGCATTACTGTAGCAGTAATGTAGAGCGATACAGTTGTCCATTATCATTGGTAGTCATATTACAGATGAAAGCAAGACTTCAATGGTCATTTTACATAGTGATAGGAAGGGCGGCGAGATTCTATGATCATTATACAACGCGAGGCCGCAGAATCAGACTTGATGCAAATTTATAATACAGTCCTGACAATAGTGATATTAAGTCCACTGCGCAGGGCATCATTGTTGATGCTCCCCACTTTGTCGATGATGAATGGATCCGGAGTCGGTGTGAACTTCATGCCCATATCCAGCCCGCATCCTGCGAGATACTCAATGAGGGTGTCTTCATTCACTTTGTCTCTTGTAAAGGGGGGCAACAAACGAGTAGATGCCACTGTGATTCTCTTTTCTTCGATGGAAGCTTTGTAGTGCTTGGAGGCGATAATATGCAACATGTAGTCGATGAACGACTCTGTATCGTCGAGCTTATTCCCAGCGCAATCAAGGAATCACCACCACTTAACATGCATCAGTAACGACTGCGAGTCACCCTTGTTATCATTTGGATGACTGCGGCATCGGATGGGGCCTGGTGTATTGACCGTCAGATGCACAGGACAATAGCCCGGCCACATCATACTGACCTCTGGATGCGAGGGACGACCGCTAGAAGCAGCAAACTGAAGCCCCGCTGGAGGATCACGCACATCAGCAGGTGCCCCAGTTGCCAGAGAGCCCATGGATCAAGTCGGGAGGGCCCACCAACGTAGTGACTGTGGCTGACTGGATCACACAGTCAAAAGGGGGAGGGGATCCATGACCATGGAATGTGGATCCATGGCCACTGAACCTGGAATCCTCTTCATCTAAGGTGCTGGCCTCCACGAGGACTAACTCCATTATTCCATCTACCGATGGGCATTCCATGGACACTGCTACAATAGCGGCACCAATGGTGACCCATACCATTCCGGCCAAGTTTATTCAGCCATTGACCAAGGAACCCGCCAACGAGCCCCCGATGACCGCATCATCTTTTCAGGTGTCGGCTGAGGTGTAGAGGGCTTTGACAGTGTCGATGAAGACCTTTGGTAGGTTGAAGCAGGTGAGGACAGCCCACAGGGTATGTGTGTTCGATTTTGTCATATGCTTTTTCCTGATCAAGTGTGATGATTGCACCATCGTCCTCCATGGCTTCCGCAAAATTGATCATAGCCTTGGAGAGGCGAACTTGGCTTGGTTTGGGTGGATCAGGTGTGTGGTGTGTGCAGCTAACTGTAGGGCCAGTGCCTTGGTGAGTACTTTATAGTCAGTGTTCAGTAGTGCTATCGGGCAGTAGTTAGCTATTTCAGAGCGGTCTTTCTTTTTGAAGATCAGGCACAACCATCCCAGGGTGAAGTCGGTGTCATCATAGATGCCGCACCGCTGGATGTTTAGTGAAATGCATGGGTACACCCACGGGTGCGCGTACCCGTATCGAACCCGTAAGATAACCCGACCCCAGGACCCAAGGGTACTATGGGTATGGGTTTTGTCAGGGTTGCAGTGGGTATCACAGGTTGTGGGTATGCCCGCAGGTATGTAGAGGAAAAGTGAAAGCATTGATATTGTGTCTGTATTTATGTTCTCTACAGCATATGGAATGGCATCCCACCCATCCTCCAATGCCTCTTCAGGCCCATCAAGATCATCCAGAACAGTTATAGCTCTGATATCTTCATCCTTGACAAGTCCCATGAGACTCCAGGACCCGAGGCATAACAGAGTGCGAGTGCTCTGGGACAAAAGACGATTGCGTGTATGCAGTAAAAGGAGGCGGCTGCGGCTAAAGCAATGCTCGATGTTGACTGAGGTGGCTGCAATATTGTTAGCAATGACAGTTGCAGTAAAGATCAGAACATACCAGGGATACTTAGATGGTCTCACGCCATACACAAGAGCTTGGGGTACGTCACACAACATTCGTACCGCCATTTCAGTGGGCTGCCGTCGATGTATTCAGGATCAGTGTTAAGGTAGGAGTCGAGCTCGTCTTGCAGCTCCAGTGAAGAGGGTGCTGCAAGGGATGGGAGGCTGTCGAAGATGTTGCCTCCCTTCAGCTGCTGCACGTCAGGTGGTTAGCGTGATGTAACATCATGGCATCCACACACACCTTTGCAGCTGTAGCTGTGGATGCTTGCTGCTTCCGTGGACCTTCTGCATTCGCATATGAGCGCTGATACTCAGTACATATGATAGACTCTGCTGTATCAATCCACTCTTGCTCCCATCCCGCGCATTTGAAATAAGAGAGCTTGTGTCTCAAGTGCAGGACTGCAAATGATACGACAAAGGGGTTAATGATTGTAAGACTGTGAGGTGAGCAAAAGCAGCTTACCCATGGCAATCCCATAGAGCTTGGAGCTGTTGGTAAGGTTGTAGTAACAGTTCAGTGTTTTTTTGGCAATCCCGATTGGCAGCTCGTAGAGGCATGTCGTACTTGTCATGCTGGCAAATCGCATTTGTAAATGTATCATCGATATGGTCCATCGCGGGGATTACTGTGGCCAGGTTGGGTGTAGAGTGCAAAAATAATAGCGTTGCATCTTTCAGAATCTGTAGCTGCCTTAGCAAGCACCATGTTATGTGACTGAGAGTAACTATACCTTCAGTATGTCATGCAGCTGTTCGAGTGCGTGCCATTCTTCATTCGACAGCTTGAACACCCGTAAACCTAGGTTACGACTGCCCGCCATCTTGTCGCCAACCTGCCAGTATGCTAGAACAAACTCAATCATGTCAAACGTAGAATTCCATCTCGTGTGAACATCCTGTTCTGGGCAAGATCAAACTTGTTGCCTGCCTCATACCACGCTGATAGGAGGAATGGTTGGTGAATGGATAACCTTAAATGAGATGTGATGGAGCTGGGAAAGGGATCAGTAACAGGTATGAGGTCTTTTGAGAGTGTACTTCACCTTGAGTAATGCCAATCATACCGGGCACACAGTCTGCTCAAGCATCTCCTTTTCTGCTGGTGACATTGGCTCTACTTCATCTACCCAGCCTTCTATATCATCATCTGCTTTGTCCTCTTGTGACTCAGCTTCAGCAGCCGCAACATCCTCCTCCTCATCCAAACCCTCTGCCAGTGCAAGCAACTCAGCATCAACATCTTCATATTTGTCACCAGTGCTCTTTCTTTTTGGTACATCAAACAGCTTCAGTAAAGACTTCACAATGAGGTTAACAATATGGAGAAAGCAGCAAACACGATTGGCCTGTCCAGGGAAGTCTGGGAGGAGCTTCGCGAGCTCCTCCGTCATTGTATCATTGTTACTAGCATTATCGCATGCGACTCCAAGGACCTATCATTCCACGGTGAGTGCAAATAGCTTACGAGGCACAATATCTTTGGCTTACTTTGTCTGTTATTCCGAAATCTTCAAGTACAGAAGCCAGCGCTTTCGCAAGATTCTCGCCCGTATGAGACTGTTCAGAGATTAGCGAGATGGTTCATTTAATGTGGAAGGTGTGTATTCACATAAGGCATATTGAGCACATCAAGGATGATACTCAATGGATCTCCCTTGTTGTCGCTGTGTAGCCCAAACACCCCAAATAGGTTCTGGTTGGGGGAACTCCATTCGTCTGTCGACACACTGAACTTTCCCTGGTACATCTATCATTTGTCAGCTCTTGTCTCGATACATTCTATTTCACTGACCTGCAGCTTCGCAGCGGACTGCAGCAAATACCATTCGGACATCTCGGGAGACAGTACTTGCTGATGGCAAGTAGTATTCAGGATGTCCGGTCTTCATCAATGACTTGAAGCCCTGATCCTCAACTATCTTGAACAGACGAAGGTTTTCGGCAACCCAGCAGACTATCTCTGCACTATGTCAACACAACCCATTAGTCAGGTCCTGGTGCTGTGTAATGGGTGCTCAAGCACGTACCGTGTCTCGGTCTTCGTATGCGCCCTCACTGAGTAAGTCTGTTTACCCCTCCGGTTTCTCTCGAAGGAGCCTGATATTGACCCAATGCATCCTATCATCTTTCCAACACCCTCACGTGCCTCTCTACTGTGCCCAACTCCTCCGCTGCTTTCAATGCCTCCTTGCCCCTTTCACGTGCTTCCGCATGTTGCTGGTTGAGCCAGCATCTTTCTTGTCAAGGTACCGGTGTATCTGTTCCTTACATCCCCGTCCCATGCACTGGAAGGCATGGACCCGATGTCCACCAAGCTCCTCAATGCTGGGTGTCGCTTCGAAGAAGGCATAAATTGGTGATCTCCATTTCTTGCTCAGATGTTCTTGTATCTGATTAGTCTCATAGGGCAAGCTGAAATTAGGGTCGTGCTCACCAAGTTCAGCATCAGCTTCTTCTGTAGCCTTCGCCTTACGTCTGGAGTCCCTCGTCTCTTTCTCGCTTCCGCTGGTCTCATTGCCGTCGACATCGATTGTTATTACAATCGAGCCATCGAGCCGTGCATCATCTTCCTCTTCTGTACAAACAGATGCGCAGATGCCTAGTGAGACTTTGATGCTGCAGGCAGCTCCAGTGCACTGGCCCTTGGCTTCTTCTTTGGTGCCATATTCTTCTTCTCTTCAGCAGCCTTCCTCTTCTGTTGGGCAAGTTCCAGATTTGCGGCATTCTCTGCTCCACGTTTGGTAAGATTGTTTGTTTGTCCAGCCATCTGGAGATAGCAAGGTCGTAGCAATGATGGGTACCCAAACTTCAATGGGTTATTGTTAGTTGGCCTGTGTGTGCAAATGGAGCGAAAACTGTACAGCTTGTTGCTATATACAGGAAACTATATCAACACGAGACTCTACCAGACTACCACATTAGGCCTGCCATGGCTTGTTTCAGCCACGGGTATGCCCAAACCCATGGGTAAGGGTACATGGGTTCACGGGTCACCAGAATATGACCTGATCCATACCCTTACCCATGACCCACACGGGAACCCGTAACCCGCGCATTTCACTATGGATGTTATTGAATACGGCTCTCATTACATGGAGGACATCAAAGGATGGGCTGTTAGGGTTCTGTTGTCAGCAAGTTTCGTGACGCTCTGCAAGAAGTTTCCATATTTCATAGGTGATCCCGTCCATGCCCGGAGCGGACCCCGATTTGGATTTCCATGCCGGGGATCCCGGGGCTGTCGTATTCAAGCTCAGCAGGGCTGCCTGACTTTGCTGTGTGCTTGAGTGGACCCGAGAGTCCCCACGTAGAGTCTTCGAGTGTGCAATACACTGTCAGGCCTCCTTCTCAAAGTCTGGGCAACCGCCTTGCCAGGCCATTGGGAGTGTAGCTTGTTCTCTGTCCCGGAATCATTCCCTTCACCTTGCTCAGCATGTGCAAAATTTGTCCCTAACCCCACAAATGGTATGTGGGTCATAGCCAGAGACAATACGGCATCCATCTCATAAACTGATATGGTCCACGACCGACCTCTGCCTAGTACCACCTAACGTTCGTGGGTGTTTCCTCCAGGGTCCCATTCATCTCTGTCTCTGCACGAGCCTGACTGCCATTCACACCTTTCCACAGGTTCTGTCTGAGGAAGCTCATCAACGTCCACTAGGCATCCAGGCGACTATTCAATGGTACATTCCATCGAACACACAGAATGGTCCATTGAACACACAAAAGATCATGAGGTCTTGAATGGACTATGGCAATGTCCATGGGAGCGTTCAATGGTACGTTCCATTGCCCAGATAGATATGGTCCATTGAACCCGGAAGAGATCATGAACGTCCATGGGACATCCAGGGGAGCGTTCAATGGTACGTTCCGTTGACCAGATAGATATGGTCCATTGAACCCGGAAGAGATCATGAATGCCCATGGGACATCCAGGGGAGCGTTCAATGGTACGTTCCGTTGACCAGATAGATATGGTCCATTGAACCCGGAAGAGATCATGAATGCCCATGGGACATCCAGGGGAGCGTTCAATGGTACGTTCCATTGCCCAGATAGATATGGTCCATTGAACCCGGAAGAGATCATGAATGCCCATGGGACATCCAGGGGAGCGTTCAATGGTACGTTCCATTGACCAGATAGATATGGTCCATTGAACCCGGGAGAGATCATGAATGCCCATGGGACATCCAGGGGAGCGTTCAATGGTACGTTCCGTTGACCAGATAGATATGGTCCATTGAACCCGGAGAGATCATCAGGTCTTGAATGGACTATG